GCCTTTGGCTCAGGTCATGATCCTGGGGTCCTGGGATCAAGTCCCACATTGGCTCCCCCTGCTCTGTAGGGAGCCTGCCACTCCCCCTGCTTGTGCTCTCTCTGTCAAATAAATAACTAAAATCTTAAAAAAAAATAAAATCTTTAAGTGAAATAGGGAGCTTTTCATACTTGTTTGCATCTCAGGCTTTTTGTATTTGGACTATTTAGTATTTTGTCTTGCCCTGAAGCCCTTTGAAGTTATAGGAGCCTATTTGTGCTTTTCATGTAATTGTCATGCCTGCTGGTCTCCACCCACCCACCACTTTGGGCTGGTGGGCTGTGGCCCTCCTTGGTAACTAGATGCGAGAGTAACACTAGTACCCTGCAACAAGGGTTACTTCCTCTCTGTCAATGGGAGCTGCAAGTCAAGAGACAGATAAAAAAGGGAAAAGTTTCTGGTTGCCCTTCAAGAAATACCTACTGAGTCAGATACTATGAAAAAAAAACCAACAAAAACCTGGAGAGACAATAAGAAAATGGGCGTGATCCCTACCTTCATCTAACTCATGGGTAGGTTCCAGGAAGCTTCTGAAGGCTAAGCAATTCATTCTCTTTTTTCATACCCAGCACCTAGATATGCTCATTCACGAATTCAACAATATTTATTGATGGGGGAGGGGAAGTGGATGAAGATGGTCAAAAGGTATAAACTTTCAGTTATAAATCAGTACTAAGGATCTAATATGCAACATGATGACTATAGTTAACACTGTGCTATGGTATATGGGAAAGTTATTAAAAGAGTAGATCCTAAGTTCTCATCACGAGGAAGAAAACTTTTTTTTTTGTATCTATATGAGATGATGGATGTTAACTAAACTTATGGTGGTAACCATTTCACAATATATGTAAGTCAAATTTAAAAACCAATATTTATTGAGCATCTATTATGGTTAGGCATTATTCTAGGCCCTGAGGATATAAAACAGACAAAGTCCCTATTCCTGTAGAATTTACCATCTGATTGCGGTGGGGTTTACAAATAAAATGAGTAAAATATGAAGTACAAAATATACTCTGTTAGATGGTAATTAGTGCTTTGGATAAAAACAAGGCAGGAACGGGGGATTAGAAGCATGGGTGTATGTGTGTGTAATTTTAATTATTTCTGTCTTTCTGTGTGTGTGTAATTTTATTTTATTTATTTTAAAAGATCTTAGGGCGTCTGGGCGGCTCAGTCGTTAAGCGTCTGCCTTCGGCTCAGGTCATGATCCCAGGGTCCTGGGATCGAGTCCCACATCGGGCTCCCTCCTCGGGGGGAGGCCTGCTTCTCCCTCTTCCCCTCCCGCTGCTTGTGTTCCTGCTCTCTCTGTCTCTGTCAAATAAATAAATAAAATCTTTAAAAAAAAAAAAGATCTTATTTATTTGAGAGAGAGAGAGCATAAGCAGAGGAGGGGCAGAGGAAGAAGCAGACTCTCTGCTGAGCAGGGAGCCTGACATGGGGCTGGATCCCAGGACCTGAAGGCAGATGCTTAACTGACTGAGCCACCCAGGCACCCCTGTGTATGTGTAATTTTATTTTTTTTAAAGATTTTATTTATTTATTTGACAGCGAGAGAGACAGCAAGAGAGTGAGCACAAGCAGGGGAAGTAGGGGAGGGAGAAGCAGGCTTCCCGCAGAGCAGGGAGCCTGATGCGGGGCTCGATCCCAGACCTTGGGATCATGACCTGAGCCAAAGGCAGACGCCTAACGACTGAGCCACCCAGGCGCCCCAATGTATGTGTAATTTTAAATGAGGTGGTCAGAGAAGGCCCAACGAGAAGGTGACATTTACGTCAAGACTTGAAGGAGGTAAGGAAGTGAGCCAGGTGCATATCTGGATGATTCTGTGGCCCACAAAGACAGTCTGTTTACAAAGTTTGTACAATCTATGGCAGCTGGGAGACAAATATAAAATTAATTGTGGTAATGTATATGACATTCTATAATTTGTAATGATCTATAAACATAGGATGTTTTCAGTAAATTACACATATAATTATTAACAAGAACAAGATCATATATCAGCATTATAAATGTATATAAAATCATAAACTATATGGTACAATTAGGGAATATGATAATGCATAATTTAGGGGCTAATTGTTCCTGTCTGTATGGTACCAGAAAAACTGTAGTTAGTTTTTTTTTCCCCCCAAAGAGGAAAGAGGTGTTTCCAACACATGGGGAAACCCTTGGAGCTTCTGCTTGGGAGTGCCTTTATTATTTATTTATTTATAAGATTTTTATTTATTTATTTCAGAGGGAGCGCAAGCATGAGCAGGGGAAGGGCAGAAGGAGAAGCAGACACCCTGCTGAGCAGAGAGCCTGACACCAGGCTGGATCCCAGGACCCTGGGATCATGACCTCAGCCCAAGGCCACCGTTTAACCAGCTGAGCCAACCAGGCGCCCCTATTTTTTATTTTTTGTGGTGAGGTAGGGTATAAGCTGTATTTGTGGATATAGGAATTATTTGCTCTGGGAAGCCAGGTGATGTTACAGAGAAATCATTTGCAAACCTATGAGCTAATTGCCTGTTGCTGGGGCCAAAAGGTCCCAGAACGAAGTTTTCTTTTTTTAATGTGTATTTCACTGTCACATAAGATGTAGGACCTGCATTAGCCTTTTTAAACAAACAAATAAACAACAAACAGTTGTGGTTTGAATTCCACCTAGATCTTGGGATTCCTGAGTCACTCTGAAGGAGGTCTTTCAGGACCTAACCTGCGTTGTTAAAAAAAATTTTTGGGGGGCGCCTGGGTGGCTCAGTCGTTAAGCGTCTGCCTTCCGCTCAGGTCATGATCCCAGAGTCCTGGGATCGAGTTCCGCATCGGGCTCCCAGCTCTGTGGGGAGCCTGCTTCTCCCTCTCCTCCCCACTTGTTCTATCTCTGTCTTTCTCTCTCAAATAAATAAAATCTAAAAAAACATTTTTTTTAAATAATAAAAAATAATTTTTTTTTCTGGGAAAAGTAGGTTAGGCCTGGGCAATCAGTTTGTTTTTTTTTTTTAAAGATTTTATTTATTTATTTGACAGAGAGAGAGAGACAGCTAGAGAGGGAACACAAGCAGGGGGAGTGGGAGAGGGAGAGGCAGGCTCCTGAGGAGCAGGGAGCCCGATGCGAGGCTCCATCCCAGGGTCCTGGGATCGTGACCTGAGCCAAAGGCCGACGCTTAACGACTGAGCCACCCAGGCACCCTATGGGCAATCACTCTCTTAATGAGAACCCTTTGAGCTTCCTGGCGCTGCAGGGATTTCTGCAAGGTTGTGCGTTCACACAGCGGATCATCCTGCTAGAAAGCACTCCCCTAACTCAGAAAGCTTGCAATATACACTCACGTTCCACATCTCAGCAAAGAATGAAGAAGGCCTGGATTCCGTTGCTTGTCTGTTGGGGCAGAAGGAGGGTGTGTCATGTGCCCAAACCTGGCCAAGCACCATTCCATTCACTCATTCATTCATTCATCAAATATTTTATTATGCGCATGATTCAGTGCCAAGCAGAGGTCCTCGCCCACCAAGTCATCCAGAACTCCTGTGGGTACGGTGCTCAGGGCCGAGAACTTCAGATTCTCAGGCCGGGTCTGCCCACCCTTTCCATCAGTAGAGCTCCGAGACAAAGAGATGCGCTCCTGTAGTTCCCCGGGCTGAGGGTTCCGCCCGCAGCCCCGGGGGCTTCGGCGCGCCTGCTTCTCCACTCCCCAGCCCGAGGGGGCGCTGCAGCGCCGCGCGCTCCGCTCGCCCCTGCGCCGCGTTCTGCTCCTCTCGGCGCTGCGGGCCGCACCGCGGTGGTACGTTCCCTCTCACCGCCCTCCCTCTCCTCCTCCTCGGCCCTCCCCGCCGGTGGTAGGTGCCGGAAGTGCCGCCATTTTGGGGTGTTCTGCTCTGGCGGCAGCGGTAGCGGCGGCGGGACGCGGAGGCTCCCCCGGGACTCGGCCTCAGCAGCGAGGCGGCGGCAGCGGCTGCGGAGGCGCAGGCAGCAGCTGAGGCAGCGGCGGGCTCAGGTGCAGCCGCTGGTGAGTGCGGCGGCCACGGGTTAACGGGCCGCGGGTGGGAGGGAAAGGAGGCAGGAGGGAGGCGCCGCGGGGCGGGTCCGGTCCTGGCGGCTGCGGGTCACAGGGCCCTTCGGGCGCGGCCGCTCCTGGCTCCCACGCGCCCCGGGGGCAGGTCGGCGATCTCCTCCCGCGTGTCGGGGCCCTGCGCCTCCCGGGTCCCGCCGCGCTAGTCCGGCGCGTGCCCCCGCGCCCAGGGAGACCCGCCCTCCTCGTGGCCTTCCCCCTTCTCCCCGCGCCCTTTGCCTTCACCCTCTGGGCCCCGAGGGCTTCGTTCCCCGCCCAGGGGTAGCTCCTTTCTCTTTTTTCCGGCAGCCGTGCCAGACCCGGGCTGTTTGCCCGGGACACCCCTTCCTTCCTCCTGACGTCCCACGTGTTCTTGGTGCCGACCCCTGGAGGGGGGCCCAGGACCCCTGCCTTAGTGGGGGGGGTAGCGCTTCTCTTCCCGAGCCTCGAGAGCCCCCCCGTTCCCCGCCCCAGATCCGCTAGGGCCTTGGCTCGCCCTCCCCCCACATCAGGTGCTCACCCAGTCGTGGCCTAGTAGCAGGGCTGGAATCTCGCACCCGAGAGCACGGAGCGCACATTGAAGAGCTTTTTTCTGTAGGGACCTGGCTTTGGATTTAAAGCCGGTGTGGTGTCTTGTTTGCGGTCTTTGGGGCAGGATGTTTTAATTCTTAGGACTATAGCACAGGCTCCAAGGAGCTTCTCGTCGGTTCAGGCTCATCCTCCTAGTTGACGGGAAGGTGGTGAGATTTTGGTCGGAGTCTGTTTCAGCAAAATGGAATCTTTTTCTCTCCAGCAGAGTTAATGCTGTACTTTTATTACCCTCGAGTAGGAAGGCTGTGTAACAGTTTTAAATAGCGGCAGTGCTTTATAATGTCTGCAGTGTAAGAGGTTACAGGTACTCAGCGAATCCTTTACAGGAACTTCATCTTTTAAAGGTCTTTTCGCTGTCTCTGATTCTTTGTAGATTGGAGAGGCTTAATTGCATTCTTTCACCTTTTCCTCAAGTGTGGCGTCTCTTAGAGGACTATGCAAGTTCAGTTTCTCCTTAACATTCTTGGGGAGAAAGAAGGCGTCTCTACATAGAAGCACACAGGGTTCCTTTCTGTTTTAACATTAATGAGTCCACTCGGAAGATCATGAAGTTGCCATAGCATGCATAAACTATTTCCAGAGGCCCCCCCACCCCCGCATGCCAGTTTTTATACTCTTAGTCTAGCTTTACCTACAGTGTGTGGTTTCTGATTATGAATTAGCCAAGATTGAAGCATTGCTGTTAGTAAAGCAAAGCTGGAGCTTTCAGCTGTTTCTTTAACCAGGAAGTTTGTGGTTCCCCCAGTGGTTTTTTTTCCTCTTGTCTGTCCACCACCTGTTTCCCTTAAGAATGGCTCTTAGCCCAGAGCATAGGTCTCAACTTTTCTCCAATCCTTCATTCTTGTGCATAGGGTTTTCTTATGCTAGGTGGTATCTAGGCTTAAAATCCATTAGCATGTGGGGCTGTTAGACATAAAATATCTTTTCCAACTCTTGCTTTTCAGATGAGGAAACTGAGGCCCCCAGAGGTTAAGTGACTTACTTGCCCAGTTACATAGCAAGTATTCTTAAAAGAGTCCCATCATAGATTTAAAAAACAAAACAAATAGTATTAGCAATAATGCAAATTGCCTTTTAAGATGTGATGGAATGGGAAGGGCCCTGGGATTGAAGTTAAAAGGCCTGATGATTCTTGCTTTGTCAGTTGCTGGGTATACAACCTTGACCAAGTCACTTAACTGTTCTGAGCCTCAGTTTATTCTCATCTGCAAAATGGAGGACATAGTGTCTGTCTCCTAGGGTGCTAATTCAGCTTCAGTGCAGTATGTGTGAAAGTGCCTGTGGTGTAAGAGGCAGACAAAATCTCTTTTGAACCAGAGTGTTTATTTTTCTAAAGATTTCCACTTAATTTTCTTATTACAGGAGCTACAGATTCATTATAAAAAATACAGAAAAGAAATGAAGAAACTCACTCTTAGTCCCATCACACATAAGTGATTGTTAGTCCTTGGTCTTTATCTTGTCCTTTTTTTATACTAGACAAATGTTTATTATTTTACCAAAATAATAAGTTTATCCTACTCACAGTTTTGTGATGTGTTTTTAAGATTTAATAGTATGTGATAGGCATGGTTTAACAAACACAGTTAATTTATTATTTTTTAAAATATATTTTAAATGGTGCTGTGGATTTAATAGCTCCAGCACATGTGAGGTGGGCCAGTGGATGTCCAGCAAGGCACAGAAAAGTTGCTCTTTTATTTATTTTTAAGATTTTACTTATTTATTTATTTTAGAGTGAGAACACCTTCATGTGTGGGCAGGGGCAGGAACAGAGGGAGAGGGACAAGCAGACTCCACTCTGAGTGTGGAGCCGGATGCCGGGCTCAATCTCATCACCCCAAGAGCCGGATGCTTAACTGACTGAGCCACCCAAGTGCCCCAGAAAAGTTGCTCATTTAAACATACGCTGGGATCGAAGAAGAGAGGGAAAGGAAGGGCAGAGACTTAACATTTATCATATGTCTACCATGTAAAAAAAAAAAAAAAAAAATATATATATATATATATACATACACACATATATATATATATTTTTTTTTAATAAAGATTTGGGCTCTCCTGCTAAATGTTGGTGGTGAGTTCTGAATTCTGTCATCCTTCCCATGACTGCCACTGCAGTTTAAGTTTCCTGTGAGACTGGACCTAAGGAAGGAGAGGTGGTTAGAAGGTGATGGTATGCCTTGGAAAGGGGGAGAAGAGCTGTCACTTGGCGGCCCTGGTGAAGAAGTTGGAGGAAGTAGGAGCATAGTAGGAGCATAGTTACCTCTGCTCAGGGCTCAGGGTACTTTGAACAAATTGCTCGTTTCCCCCCCCCCCCAAATTTCTCTAAGCCATGGAATTAAGGATTTAGGTAAGCTATTTCCTCAGCTTTTTTTTTTTTTTAGCAGCTTTATTGAGATACAATTCACATACCATACAATTCAGTGGGCTTTCTATTACCTTATTAATTTTAAAAAATTGTGGTAAAGGCAGCTCTTTCTGCCCACAGGTCCTGTCCCTGTGCTTTAATAAAACCACCTTTTTTGCATCCCCCCCAAAAATAAATAAATAAAAAATTGTAGTAAATTATTTATAACAAAAGTTGGCCATTTAAATCAGTTTTTGTATTTGCATTTTTTAAAAAGATTTTATTTATTTAACAGAAGGCAAGAGAGCACAAGCAGGGTGAGCGGCAGAGGGAGAGGGAGAAGCTGGCACCCTGCTGAGCAGGGAGCCCGATGTGGGGCTCCATCCCAGGACTCTGGGATCATGACCTGAGCTGAAGGCAGACCCTTCATCTACTGAGCCACCCAGGCACTCCGATATATTTGCATTTTTTAATGTAAAAAACAACATAAAGCTTACTATTTTAACTATTTTTGTGTAGTTCTGTGGCATTAAGTGCGTTCCCATTGATGGGAAACATATCTTCAGAACTTTTTCGTCTTGGAAATCTGAAACTTTATACCCATTAAACAACTCCCCTCTTCTTCCTACCGCCAGCCCCTGGTAACCACCAGTCTGTTTCCTGTTTTATGAATTTGACTGCTTTTGGATACCTCATATAAGTGGAGTTATATAGTATTGGCTTCTTGTAACTGGCTTATTTCACTTACCATAATATCTTTAAGGTTCATCCATGTTGTAGTATGTGACAGGATTTCCTTACTTTTAAAGACCAGATAGTACTGGGGTACCTGGCTGGCTCATTCAGTGGAACATGCGACTCTTGATCTTGAGTTGGAGCCCCATGTTAGGTGTAGAGATTACTTAAAAAAAAAAAAAAGTCTGGTTAATACTCCATTTAATGTATATACCACATTTTGTTTATCCATTCATCTTTTGATAGACATGAGTAGTTTCTGCCTTTTGACCATTGTGATTAGTGCTGCAATGAGTGTGCAAATATCTCTTAGAGACCCTTCTTTCAATTCTTATAATAGCCAGAATTGGGACTGCTGGATCGCATAGTAGTTCTATTTTCAATTTCTAGGAACCTTCATACTGTTTTCCATAGTGGTTGCACTATTTTACAATCCCACCAACAGTGCACAAGGGTTCCAGTATCCACATCTTTGCTAACATTTGTTATTTTATGTGTGTATGTGTTTAAATAGTAGCCATCCTAATGGGGTGTGAGGGGATTTTTTTTTTTAAATTGAAGTGTAGTTTCATGTTCAATATTATTTTAGTTTCATGTAAGCAATATGGTGATTGGATATTTATATACATAATTTCATTGTAGTTTTGATTTGCATTTCTCTTATTAATGATGTTAATTGAACTTCTTTTCATACGGTTGTTGGCTATTTGTATATCATCTTTGCAGAAATATCTATCGAAGTCTTTGAAATCAGGTTATATGATTTGTTTGTTGAGCTGTGGTTGTTTTATGTATTGTGAATATTGATCTTTTATCAGATATATGATGTGCAAAAACACTTTTGCCCATGTCTTTTCAGTGTTCATTTTGTCTTTTGTCTGATTTTGCTTTTGTTGCCTATGCTTTTGGTGTCTTATCCAAGAAGTCACTTCCAAGTCTAATGCCTTGAAGTTTTTCCCCTATGTTTTCTTTTTTTTTTATTTTTTTTTAAAGATTTTATTTATTTATTTGAGAGAGAATGAGATAGAGAG